ATGATATGTATCACCGATTTTTGCACTGTTTCGAGGTTAGATATATATATAATGTTAATTTTTAACCTTTTATCCAAAGCAGAATATTTTGGTCACGTGAGAATTGTCTGTTTTTTTAAGTATCTAATTCATAGACGATTTTGAAGGATATGTATTTATCTGCTACAGTTATAAAGAACACAACAGAAAGTGCGAATTGATACAGGAGGTATTATTGATATAAATTGATATCAGCGAGTTTCATAGTTTAAAAGTGGGTCTGATTTTGTGCACGAGTTATCTTCCGACTAGGAACAATGACACTATAGTTTTTATGTTTCCATGACAACACCTTTATACTTTTCTACTGTAAAAGGAAATGAAAAAACAAGAGAGGGAACAACTATATATGTCGGAACAGATGGCACAATAGAAACAGTAAGTTAGAGGATATGAAAAAAACGAGGAGAAAACAACAGAAAAAATGAGGGAACAGGAATCAATTCAACAGCCAGCCTAAATAAAGAAAATAACAGGTACCTAGGAGACAACACAACGGAAGGAGGGGTAATATTTGGAACTGAAGAGACAAAAGAAAAGGAAATCAAGGATGGGAAATGAGAAGACAAAGAAACAAACGGAATCTAAAAGGGGGTCTGGGGAGACACTAAAACATACGGAACCAAACAATGAACCCTGAGGAGACAGCTAAAAACAGGAGGATCCAAACAACGGGGCGTGGGGAGACACCAAAACAAACGGAACCCAACAACGGGACCTGAGGAGACACAAACACAAAAAAGGAACCCAACAACGGGACCTGATGAGACACCAAAACAAACGGAATCCAACAACGGGACCTGGGGAGACACAAACACAAAAAAAGAGGAACCCAACAACGGGACCTGATGAGACACCAAAACAAACGGAATCCAACAACGGGACCTGAGGAGACACAAATACAAAAAAGAGGAACCCAACAACGGGACCTGTTGAGACACCAAAACAAACGGAATCCAACAATGGGACCTGGGGAGTCACCAAAACAAACGGAATCCAACAACGGGACTTGAGGAAACACAAACAAAAAAAATAGGAACCAAATAACGGGGCCTGAGGAGACACTAAAACAAATGGAAATAGAAAGAAAATCAAGAATTGAGGTGGCATGCAGAATCAGATGGGAAGCCAACAGGAACTTATCAGACACATAAAAGACAGGAAACAGAGGACTACGTAAACATGAAAAGAAAAGGAGTATAAATTCATGAACAGATACCAAGAAAGGACAAAGAACACTTAGAGAAAGGAACGGCATGATCTTACGAAACAGCGGTATCGAAGGAAGATCTCTCACCGAATTTGATTTCTTTTCTAGTGATAAAATATTTTTAGGGAACATATTAAGCATCGGTAATTTTGAATCTTCAGGTCTGTAGGTAAAACTCGTATTTATTGTTCTGAATTGTTTATGAAAGGTTTGTTATAGATAATCTGAGCTATTTTACGTGTGTGGAGTTCATATTCCCTTAGTCTGAAGCTGGTACAATATGAATTTTTCATCACCGATAATGGTTTATAAAACCATTAACAGTTCGATTATTATCACATGATTATGACCTGTTCCCTACTTCAGGATAAAGTGCGGCGTAGGGTTAATATTTTACGACACCATTGTCCAATACACTATACATAACGTGATATCAACACACACCACCGCGTACTACACACAATATCACTGGTGTGTTTTTAACACTATCGATCCCAGCCAAGATACACAAGAAGTTGCTGTCAAGATCTAAAGAGCAGATATTACGTGAAACTTGCAACAGTCACGCATGCCACACTGGCCCCAGGTTCCATGAGGGCTTGAAAAGGTGAGCTTTGTCTCGCGGTCCGATCTTTGGCGGTAATTTTGTTTATGGATGGACTCGTGTATATAAACACTGACCAAGGTCAACAGATGAATGGATTCACATCGTTACACACTACTTGACACGAGGTCATCTTATGTGGTAAGTATGTACAGGTGGACATTGGTCATTGCAAATATATGTAAATGATGACTCAAAATAGCTTTGTAACTTCGTTAAATAATTTGATTGTTGTTTCTGCTGTTAATGTATACTGAATGTTTATAATATGTTATCGATTACACAAAGCTGCTATGAAAATGATTTACAAAAGGCTTTGTTTCGTTTACAAGAAATCCCTTAGAGAGTTGAATATGATTTTTTCTGTTTGTTTGCTTGTTTTGTTTTTACTTTGGAATATATCACATCACATAAAATTAATTTTGTAAGTCTTGTGAAGCAAAAATATGTGTATGCCTCTTTGATATTTTTCTGTGGGTACCGCGTTCGACAGAGCTTTGTGTTCAGGCAGTATTGGTGCTTGTATACATCACGGTTGCATATGAAGGCAACATATGTCTAATAGAAGTAAAACGAGATATGTCGTTAACAGACACGCCCCCGTAAAACCTCTACTTGACTTGGGGCAGCGGTGAAGATCAGATAAATGTTTGGCTGCATTATGACTAATCAACGTGAATATGGCTGACGTTAAACGGCTAGGCCGTACATAGAAAATATCACTACTCCCTAGTGTAAAAGTACAACAAAGTATATATAAATCAGCATTATGTAAATGAGAACTATTTCTTAAGTATATTTCTCTCATATCTCAAACACATTTTCATGACTTGGCCGGATATACTAGGTGCCAAAGATTGGAACAAAACTCATTTTGAAAAAAAAAAAGTATTGCCTAACTGATTAATTTAATTTTTCTTCTGTTTAAGCGAATCTTGAATACTCCGAGATTTAATAGATTTCCGAAAATATGACTTCCCTTTTCTTTGTGAATATTTGCATTTTATTAATTGTTTCGCTTCTGGAAATGTTTTCTTAAGACTGCCGCGCTTAAACCTGAATAAGCAATAATACCTTATAGTGTCAATAAACAACAATTAATTATCTACAATTGAGTTAAAGTGCTGATTATGAATTGTAGAATTAGATTGTCAAAAGATGTGGTTAAATATATACAAAACGTGTTTTGTACCCATAATATCTAAAGATTAACGACGTCATAATTTTGTAAACTTAAAAAGATACTTGTCTTTTCACTTACAAACTTTAGCAAGTCTACCTCTTGTGTTGCAAAGTTAAAATATGCTACACCTTTATTTGTTTGCCCTAGTTCGCTTGTTTATTAGTGCGGAAATGCTACACGGAAAAATGACACACAAACACACACACACAGGTACACAGATATTTAAATTTACATAGCCTCGTGCTAGGACGGACAGGGTCAACGATGACCGACGCGTCCATCATTAGAGATACAAAGTCATATACGGCACAGTAATATACAGTATATGAGACGTTCACGGAGGAGACCTTTGTTGACAAATATACATACACATACATGATGGAGATTTGATAGCGTGCAAGGCTGCGGTATTTCTATCACTTGTGTTCTATGACATACGTTCGTGGATTCAAAGGACGGACAAACGTTTTGTACATCATGCAGGTAAGGTAAGTAAAACACAATACCGACATTTTTATCGCCATATCTAGCATCTAGCAAACTCTGTTCTTTATCACGGTATGTAGCTAAGCTTTAACACGTTTCTGCAAATGTGTAAGATTTAAAAAGCACGCTTCTTTAAGTTACAGTCGATTTCTCCGGGGAAATCTGCACGTGAGTGTAACCGTGCTACAAAGGATTAATTCAATCTGTTGCAGTTGTTTGTACTCGTGAGCCAATTTCAATTTTGAACTTAGTGAACATGAAGGATTCTCTCCTTCCATAATAGATATAAAGACATTTTCCCCAGCTTGGGTAAGCTTACGTGTCAGGCTCTTTCGAATATCTTTTAAATAGATTGCTTCCTATCTTTTGTGCCTGTCTTATAATAAGACATCACGTAAGGAGCTGTTAAGCCAACCCCAATAAAAAGTCCTTAAATTCATCTTAAATCCCGGCAAATACACAAATAGATGATATTGTATAGAATAGGATTGTGAAAACAGCTGAGGAAGGTATCTTTCGACTTGCACACTATAACACCTAGTCTTTACTAGAAATGAAAGTGTGTTTAATTTGTTCTAAAAGCTAATTATTTATGAAAGATAAGATATATTTGTTTATCAAAAACAAGATATGTAAAGAAGAGATGACGTCATGATGTTCTCGATTTTTGTCTCAAATACTTACACAGTATTTTGATCCCGGGAAAAAGATTTACAATAAATATCTATTCCATAAGAATTTAATGAATACCAAAATATTCACGGGTTTTGCCTTAAAACCCCTTTCAAATAGTTTATTTTTTCAGTCGTCAAGTCTAAGATATAAGTTTGCAATCTTAATTAATTCTTTCTCGAGATAATTTTTTTCCGTCAATAAGGTGTTAGCTTTAATGAAATATTATCACGCGCCATGCTGTCAACAGCGGAAACTAACACGGCGAATCATTACCTCAGTGAAACTCAATATCGTCTTTCTGTTTACAATATGTCTCAACTAATTAATTACTTAATTAACAAAACTAATTATACCCAGAGGTTTTTCACATGAACAAAAAGTATGCTATTCAAATGTTTCATAAAATGCTTCTTCAAAATTGTATTTATTGAATCTTTTGATCATTCTATTAATAAACAAAATCCTAAAAGATCCCTAGATAAGTTGAAGAATCAGTTTGTTACACTGTACACAAAAGGAGCTGAATCATGGGTACACAATGAAAACAACCTCCGACGTTATTTAATATACGCAGGAAAAGGATAATGAAAATATTTTCAATTTAGAAACTTCCCTCTGGACGTGTGTGAGAGTACAAAACCGCGTTCTATTATTGATAAAGGTTACAAATTATGTACACGTGGTTTTGTTGTGAAAGGAAATTCCGCCAGCAAAGCGCCACCGATATTGTGAACGGTGCAGTGCTATCAGACACATACCAGTATTACACTCTGAACAGGAGCTTTGTTTGTGTAATCCATCAGATCTTTCGCACGGGTTACACGACTAATGAACCCGGAAAAACTGCTTTTATCAGATAAAGTAAGTTGGTTTACTTATTGTTCATATGGTTATGAAATAAGATATTTAGATGAAAAAAAAACAACAAAAAACAAAGGACTTTTATTAATGGCGGAAGTGTTTTTCTGTGTAAAGTTAATTGCTTATCCAGCCATATTTGGGCGGTGTTGCTTTCCTTGTTTAATTATCATATATGTTAGAAGTAGTGCTATATTTTTTTCGATTATTTGATGAAATTTGTTCATATCTGTGAAATTACCTGTTTCGTGAAACTTGTACGTGGAGCAATGTGTACAACCTCACGAAGCAGAAATTAATTTATTTAATTCAATTCATCTTTAATTAATTTTCTTCAAATGGGTGACTTTCAGAAATATGTGTTGTGAAACAGAACGACAGCTTGTAAAGCGGACAAAATTTTAGTCTCTGTTTTTGCTATTATTATAATACATGAGCGATAGAGCAGAAGGAAATCGGCCGCTGAAATTCCAAGAATGTGGAGCTATGTTCCCTTAATGCATGCTGTCTGTTTCGAATGCATGACTTACGGTTATCTGACATCGATAAATATATTTCCTGTTTAACCAATAGCATACAACGTAGTTAAACAAATCTGAGTGGGAGGATTGTGAAAGACATATCTATCTACACGCCATTGTTACATATATGCTTTTGTTTTGTCACCCATTGGGGGAGAAAACTGGAAAAGTGACATTGTTATGTTATGAGGTATAGCTTTTTATCTGTTTTTTTTTTTTCATATATTTTTGGAGTTTTGGTTCTTGAATCACGGACAACTTCTGAATAGTACATAGCTAATGTTGATGCAGATTAATTCGTCATTCTGGTACTATATGTATCTTTTTATCATTCTGGTACTATATGTATCTATTTATCATTCTGGTACTATATGTATCTATTTATCATTCTGGTACTATATGTATCTATTTATCATTCTGGTACTATATGTATCTATTTATCATTCTGGTACTATATGTATCTATTTATCATTCTGGTACTATATGTATCTATTTATCATTCTGGTACTATATGTATCTTTTTATCATTCTGGTACTATATGTATCTTTTTATCATTATGTATCTGGTACTATATGTATCTTTTTATCATTCTGGTACTATATGTATCTATTTATCATTCTGGTACTATATGTATCTTTTTATCATTCTGGTACTATATGTATCTTTTTCATTCTGGTACTATATGTATCTATTTATCATTCTGGTACTATATGTATCTTTTTATCATTCTGGTACTATATGTATCTTTTTTAATATCTAAATGTGTTTGTTGATTTGTTTGTTGTTTGTGTACAGGTTTGTATAATTTCCTGTTTATTTTATTGACAAAGGTATCGTTTGCCTGTGTGATGTATCTAATTATCTACACCATGTATATACACGTGAAACGTATTATCTTTCCTTGTCTAATTCATACTGTAATTTTAAGTGTATTTGAGAGTGTTTCATGATAGCTATTTTTCAGGCGCTGACTGGAAAGTGTTTATTTTTAATTATTTTTCATAACTTGCCATAGTTTCTCTACCTGTATTTCTACTTTCGATTTGCGTCGAAAAATACAACGAGCAATGAAAAAAGACTAACGATTTTCCAAAAACACCAAGACACGTAATGTAGACTATAAACAAAGCTAACAAAATGATAGTTGTTAAGTAAGTTTGAAACAGTTATGTAAATATTCTGATGTTTCTTATCTTCAGCTGGTTGTTCTTAACATGCTTTAACCCTGTGATATATGAAAGGAAACATTTTGAAATTCAATTTTCTTTTCAAAATAAATAAGGTGGAAATGATATGTTTCCCTTCTCTGATGTAACAAGGTTCTCAATACAAATTTGCCTGACATTTAAACACACAAGTGGTCCATAAAGTAGAGCAGCTAAGTCATCACTTGGCATTTGTTCGACACTGCCTTACAGATGAAAAGATCTCTCCAATTCTTGTAAATGGCGTCTTAATAAGCTTTGCCAGAACAAGGATATTAAACTTTTTTTTTTCGTATCTGTACATCAAGTGCTACCACGCTATGCTGCCAGCCGTGTGTTTATACCCATATACAATGTACAAGCTTTTTGTGAGAGATATCATTGTGAAACACATCTATCAGTTTATATTAGATAGATATCATTGATTGTAAGCACGTCTTGACACGAGATGTTTTGTTAGAGAGTAATAATGAATTTGGCTCTGGGAACGGAAAATCGAATTGGAATGGAATGTCTACATTGACAAATCTTGTCAAAAGTCAATGTACGTTTTGTTTTATCACAAAATAATCCTGTTTCCTTATATTGACCTCTGTAAATCATTCTTTTGATGGCATTTTGCTTCTTATCATGTTTCTATTTGTTTATTTATAACATAAGGCCGTGAAAAATCAAATATTTTTATGAGGCTAAATTTTCGTGGTTTTCGAATTATAAATTTCGGTTGCACATGATTTCGGGAATAAATCTTGATTACACAATTCACTAGAACTAAGATCTATGCCAACGTTTATTTGTTTATAAATTCGTGAACTTAGAGTACCCACGAACTAAGCGTAAATAATTCCCCCACGAAAATTAACGAAGTTTACAGTAATGCCACTGGTCACTTATTTTCATCACTCCAGAACACTAATTTCACGGTCAATCTGTGTAGAATTTGTTAATCTGGTTCCTTCTTGAATTTTGTCGTTGTTCATCATGCTTCCCTTTTGATTTTGGTGCCTCCTATTTCTTATATATCGAATTCAAATGTCGGCCGCTTTTGATTTTCCTGAGGTGACTCCTAGGCCTCAAAATTAATGTCCCTAGCATCACTGAAGAGTCCTAGAAGGAAGGACAGAACAGTTGTATGATGTAGTTCATGTATCTAAACATAAATTTGTAATGTAAACTTGTGTGTAGTTTGTGCAACCTTCTGCCTTCTTATTAATCTCTTCGTTTTGACCATTTTAAATCAAATTTTATAACCTCATCTATATTCTGATGTTGACATCATGAAATTTGATTTCATTTGTTGACATTTGTCTAAGGCAACTATACTATCTTATATTACAGTGTATCGATGTGTTAATATATAGTTCAGGGGTTAAGGCAATAGTTTGTGTCCAATAAAACTAAATATGTTTACAGAGTACTTCCTGCAGTGAATAGTAATGAGGCTGTTCCAGGTTTAGACACGCCAGGTGAAGTTACTCTCAGATATACTACCTTTACACGGATATTCGAAAATGTCTTATTTATAATGAAATGTAAATTAAAAAATGCAAAACAAAATTGTTTGTGAGTTTTTTTCTTACCTGAAAATGTCGACAATATTTCGGTGTTAGTTGTTATATATGAGCCGTCCAAAGTCACAACATCGTTGAATTCCACCCATCAATGCCCTAGTTAAGAAACTTTGATCAAGAAACTTCTTTAACGTTGGATGCAGTAAGTCTAAATGTTTTTAAAATACTTTAAAATTATGAATTTACGTGGAGAATTTATTTTCATTGATTATCAATCGACGCGTTTATATATCCACGAATTGACATATTAAGTATGCCTACACTAAAATTTTATACAACAATATGAAAATACCCGATTATACAGTAACAGTACAGTTAACTAATATATACTTGATAAAGAAATCCTATAATTCTGTCGTCGTAATAAGTTTGAAATGAGGTATATTTGATTCGCTGCATTGTGTTAACATAGCTATACTACCAAAGTTTACGTACATATCAGTGTCTGTAACATAATGCTCTATTAAATACAAAAACATACTTCGGCAGGTGTTCTGTAAATGAGAACCGACCTAACAACCGTATTGCTAAGGATCGAAGAGGCGTAAACATATATCGTAAACAAATGCATTAAGAAGTGACCTTGTCCAAGGTTGTTGGTAAACAAAGTGAAAACAAAGGTCATTATAACAGATTTTTACTGTAAGAGTCTTTTCCAGCTTGTTATAGAAAAGTATTCTTCTGATATACTCGGGTTTCATTAGCTTACTATGTCTTTCTCTGACGTTTTCATCCGATTTTCATAGTTACTGCACTCTCCGTTTATCTACGACTTCGCTTCTCTCGGACTTTATCCTATACCCGTCATTGTCTGTTCTGTTGCTTTCTGTCTTCTTTAATTACTTGTATGATGCTTTATCCGTCTCCATGGCAACGATATCAGACCACCACTGTTGATGTTTCGTGTTTGTCTTTTTCAGTTACGATGATCGTCCTATTTATGATTTCACTTTTCGGATTTAATCGCACGCCAGCATCTGCTAGCATCAACAACGGAGCTACTGTGCAGCTTGACCTGATTCAGACGATTTAGCTACTCCGGCTACACGAGTTTTGTACGGAAAGGACGAGTCGACAAGTGTAGGAACGGAAAAGATGGTTTAAAATATTTGTGCAACTCTACTGCATTATCTGAAAAAAGTGTGTTTTGGGATTATATTTTTTTCATTTCGGCGCCAAAAAGGATTCTGTTGATATTATAGAGTCCTTATGGATATGTTTACATAAACATATTTATCAGTGAACGTCACAGTACTGTTTGATTGGAATACTGTATACTACAAGGTCTGCACGTATATTTTGTATGAAAGTGCTGAGTGATACGGCTGCTTGAAAGCGATATATATCACTATCATAACAGAACAGCTGGTATATGAAATCTATATATAGATATATACAGGTATAGCAAAACGTGGATTTAACTTAACGAAAAATTCGCTGCACGTCCGAGTGAATATACCACTGTTTGGATTTTGTAACAAACTGTATAAAAATCATAAAGGGTTGTATCTGGTTACTAGTTATATCCCCAGTGCAGCTGTGTGCGTGAGCGCGCGCTAGGGTACGTCACCCGTGAATAATAGCCTCCAAGTGCAGATTAAGTCGTTTCCTTCACAACAAACTACTATGGCTGTTACTAGCCTGAACGGGACAGAGCAGACGATAACAGCTTTTGTGCAGGATATTATCCGATATGCACGTCAGAAGGTCGAGGACGGTGAAGGGGATGTAAATAACATGGAGGAAGGAAGTGATGAATCACGAAATTTGACCACTTCCGGTCATCTTTGCAACGGAGACGCCACAGAAGAAGAGGTAGGTATGAGCTAGTGTTAGTAATATAGTATACTCAAACGTAGATACAGTGGGTACGCATGAAATTTTACTGGCAAATCTTAACGTAGAATTCGACATTAAGTGTTCATAACATGCGTATAAAGTCCATTGTTTATAGTATCAACAAAATATTTAGTTTGTAAATAGCACCTGGCTGGCACGGAACTGATGGAGCCAGGCAAATACACATGCCAAAACCATATGCTGCGCAAGTAAAATTAAAAACAGTATAGTTTGTTTACAGAAAACATATAAAAACAAAACAAGATCACATCTACCCCTGTTTGAACTGTCTTCAAGCATGACTGTCTTAATAACTAATTCGATTAATGTTAGTATGATAAGCTGTTTATCAAAGACAACTGTTAGTATGATAAACTGTTTATCATAGACAACTGTTAGTATGATAAGCTGTTTATCATAGACAACTGTTAGTATGATAAACTGTTTATCACAGACAACTGTTAGTATGATAAACTGTTTATCACAGACAACTGTTAGTATGATAAACTGTTTATCATAGACAACTGTTAGTATGATAAACTGTTTATCATAGACAACTGTTAGTATGATAAACTGTTTATCATAGACAACTGTTATATGATAAACTGTTTATCACTGTTAGTATGATCAGGTGTTTATCATAGACAACTGTTAGTATGATAAGCTGTTTATCATAGACAACTGTTAGTATGATAAACTGTTTATCATAGACAACTGTTAGTATGATAAACTGTTTATCATAGACAACTGTTAGTATGATAAACTTTTATCATAGACAACTGTTAGTATGATAAGCTGTTTATCATAGACAACTGTTAGTATGATAAGCTGTTTATCATAGACAACTGTTAGTATGATAAGCTGTTTATCAGACAACTGTTAGTATGATAAGCTGTTTATCATAGACAACTGTTAGTATGATAAGCTGTTTATCATAGACAACTGTTAGTATGATAAGCTGTTTATCAGACAACTGTTAGTATGATAAGCTGTTTATCATAGACAACTGTTAGTATGATAAGCTGTTTATCACAGACAACTGTTAGTATGATAAGCTGTTTATGATACACAAATGTTAGTATGATAAGCTGTTTATCATACACAACTGTTACTGTTTATCAAACTGTTAGTATGATAAGCTGTTTATCACAGACAACTGTTAGTATGATAAACTGTTTATCATAGACAACTGTTAGTATGATAAACTGTTTATCATAGAGAACTGTTAGTATGATAAGCTGTTTATCATAGACAACTGTTAGTATGATAAGCTGTTAATCATACAATACACAACTGTTAGTATGATAAACTGTTTATCATAGACAACTGTTAGTATGATAAGCTGTTAATCATACAATACACAACTGTTAGTATGATAAACTGTTTATCATAGACAACTGTTAGTATGATAAACTGTTTATCATAGACAACTGTTAGTATGATAAGCTGTTTATCATAGACAACTGTTAGTATGATAAGCTGTTTATCATAGACAACTGTTAGTATGATAAGATGTTTATCATGGACAACTGTTAGTATGATAAACTGTTTATCATAGAGAACTGTTAGTATGATAAACTGTTTATCATAGAGAACTGTTAGTATGATAAGCTGTTTATCATAGACAACTGTTAGTATGATAAGCTGTTTATCATAGACAACTGTTAGTATGATAAGCTGTTTATCGCAGACAACTGTTAGTATGATAAGCTGTTTATCACAGACAACTGTTAGTATGATAAACTGTTTATCACAGACAACTGTTAGTATGATAAGCTGTTTATCATAGACAACTGTTAGTATGATAAGCTGTTTATCACAGACAACTGTTAGTATGATAAACTGTTTATCACAGACAACTGTTAGTATGATAAGCTGTTAATCATACAATACACAACTGTTAGTATGATAAACTGTTTATCATAGAGAACTGTTAGTATGATAAACTGTTTATCATAGACAACTGTTAGTATGATAAACTGTTTATCATAGAGAACTGTTAGTATGATAAGCTGTTTATCATAGACAACTGTTAGTATGATAAGCTGTTTATCATAGACAACTGTTAGTATGATAAACTGTTTATCATAGACAACTGTTAGTATGATAAGCTGTTTATCATAGACAGACTGTTTATCACAGACAACTGTTAGTATGATAAACTGTTTATCATAGACAACTGTTAGTATGATAAACTGTTTATCATAGAGAACTGTTAGTATGATAAACTGTTTATCATAGAGAACTGTTAGTATGATAAGCTGTTTATCAAAGACAACTGTTAGTATGATAAGCTGTTTATCATAGACAACTGTTAGTATGATAAGCTGTTTATCATAGACAACTGCTAGTATGATAAACTGTTTATCATAGACAACTGTTAGTAAGAAATGCTGTTTATCATAGACAACTGTTAGTTTGTTAAGCTGTTTATCATACAATACCAACGGTTAATATGATAAACTGTTTATGATAGACAACTGTTAATATGATAAGCTGTTTATCATACAATACACAAATGTTAGTATGATAAGATGTTTATCAAAGACAACTGTTAGTATGATAAACTGTTTATCATAGACAACTGTTAGTATGATAAACTGTTTATCAAAGACAACTGTTAGTATGATAAGATGTTTATCATAGACAACTGTTAGTATGATAAGCTGTTTATCATAGACAACTGTTAGTATGATAAGCTGTTTATCATAGACAACTGTTAGTATGATAAGCTGTTTATCATAGACAACTGTTAGTATGATAAGATGTTTATCATAGACAACTGTTAGTATGATCAGGTGTTTATCATAGACAACTGTTAGTATGATAAGCTGTTTATCATAGACAACTGTTAGTATGATAAGCTGTTTATCATACAATACACAACTGTTAGTATGATAAACTGTTTATCATAGAGAACTGTTAGTATGATAAACTGTTTATCATAGAGAACTGTTAGTATGATAAGCTGTTTATCATAGACAACTGTTAGTATGATAAGATGTTTATCATAGACAACTGTTAGTATGATCAGGTGTTTATCATAGACAACTGTTAGTATGATAAGCTGTTTATCATAGACAACTGTTAGTATGATAAGCTGTTAGTATGATAAACTGTTTATACAATACACAACTGTTAGTATGATAAACTGTTTATCACAGACAACTGTTAGTATGATAAACTGTTTATCATAGACAAGTATTTGTATGATAAGCTGTTAATCATAGACAGCTGTTAGTATGATAAACTGTTTATCATACAATACACAACTTTTAGTATGATAAACTGTTTATCAGAGACAACTGTTAGTAAGAAAAGCTGTTTATGATAGACAAGTGCTAGTATGATAAACTGTTTATCAAAGACAACTGTTAGTATGATAAGCTGTTTATCATACAATACACAACTGTTAGTATGATAAGCTGTTTATCATAGACAACTGTTAGTATGATAAGCTGTTTATCATACAATACACAACTGTTAGTATGATAAGCTGGTTATCATAGACAAGTATAAGTATGATAAACTGTTTATCACAGACAACTGTTAGTATGATAAACTTTTATCACAGACAACTGTTAGTATGATAAGCTGTTTATCACAGACAACTGTTAGTATGATAAACTGTTTATCACAGACAACTGTTAGTAAGAAATGCTGTTTATCATAGACAACTATTAGTATGGTAAGCTGTTTATCATAGAAAACTGTTAGTATGATCAGGTGTTTATCATACACAACTGTTAGTATGATAAACTGTTTACCATAGACAACTGTAAGTCTGATATACTATTTATCATTGACAGTAAGTATATTATATTCAACATTGACTGTAAGTATGATATAATATTTATCATTAACTGTAAGTATGATAAACTATTTATCATTGACTGTAAGTATGATATACCATTTATCATTGACTGTAGGTATGATATACTATTTATCATTGACTGTAAGTATGATATACTATTTATCATTGACTGTAGGTATGATATACTATTTATCATTGACTGTTATTGTGATATACTATTTATCATTGACTGTTATTGTGATATACTATTTATCATTGGCTGTTATTGTGATATACTATTTATCATTGACTGTTATTGTGATATACTATTTATCATTGACTATTTATCATTGGCTGTAGGTATGATATACTATTTATCATTGGCTGTTATTGTGATATAATATTTATCATTAACTGTAAGTATGATATACTTTTTATCATTGGCTGTTATTGTGATATACTATTTATCATTGCCTGTAAGTATGATATACTATTATCATTGACTGTTATTGTGATATACTGTTTAAGATTGACTGATACTATGACATAATTTTCAGTACTGACCACTGTTAGAATCAGATATTGTTTGTCATTGATTTGAAGAGCTAGTTGGACGTCTTGAAAAACATCAAATCCTTATGTCATAAATTAATTTTTATAGCATTCGTTCACCAATTGTTGAAACAAATCGTATTACCTTGCCTTGTGGATTGAAACTTGCTGGTTATGTCGCTACTTTAAAGTTTGAAGAAAACAACTGCATTCATACAATTAAGAGATATGATTTTGTAATAAACTCGTGTAAATATTAAGGATGGCGTAACTTAATATCATTGCATTTTACCTGTCAACATTTTCTTCGCTGTCCTTTGCATTACAGCGATAAATCTGAATAAGGATGACGATATTGGCCGATATTTTTTTGTGTTTATTTGACTTATTACAGATATATATTGAAATCAATCTTGATACTAATGGGAGCTTCATGTTAAAAATTCCAATCAAGATATGGAATCTGAAAATCATTCATTTTTCAGATATCTATTTCGTAAAATCTAAAACGTATCCTTGTTTAATCAGTCGCATGAGAAATTGATGAGATTCAATCCCAGTATAATTGAATCTATGTATTCTTGAACAGAACTGTGCCACAATATCGAGTCTATTAATATCAAACACATACATTCCGACGTGTAGCAGTGTTACCGCTAGCTCTGGCTAAATAATATATTGAAGGCTTAGCCGAGCCTGAGATACCATTAAAACATAGATTGGGGTCAGCAAATGTCCTTATCATTCCTTCGACTACCCCTCAGGGGTATGGCACTAGCCTCAATTGCAATTTTCTCCGATAATTGTTTCAAATCGTTGATGCAGGGAATGAACTGGTATTTATATCAAACCTTATTAAGAAGAAAGTTTTATGAAGACAAAACTGAAAATAGGCATTTGCATCATTGAGAAACACTATCGGAAGGTTGCTGTTGTTGTCATGATGATAACATAAGATACTGTCCTGTTTTAACTTGTCCTGTATTCTGAGTCTCTTTGTTTATAACAATGGATGTTACAAAGATTCCTGCTGGTTGTCATATTACAGAGAATTACTTTCTTGTGACTGCGCAAAACAAAACAATTAAGCTACAGTTACAGGGATCTGATTTTGACTAGGTTTTTTATGTTATGAATCCGTTGTTTATTACAAGTGCTCTCTAGGAGAATCTTGATTTTTTTCGTATTCACATGTAAGTTAAATATGATATGTAGGTTCCTTTGTATGTCCTTGAGATTGCAGGTGGTAGATATACTGCTGGTGGACTATTTGTCTCCGAGGTTTGCCGTAATCTGAATGCAAAGTTTTGATTCATTCGAATAGTGCCACAGATCGGAATATACACATGTACTTTACATTCTTCTAAAATTGACATTTAAAGAATTACAAAATGTACTGAATCATGGGGCTAGTGAACCTCTCCATCTAATTTTTTTTTTACATTTTTTCGATCATTTTAGGCTTTGCTCAGTTGCCTCATGGGTTTAACATATAGACTAAGTATCAGTAACTGACTGCGCACTAGAAGAACAAAACAACTGTATGATGCAGTTTTGTTTAGTTTATGGCTCTACTGTATCTTATCCTATGAATTTGTATGCCTTTTGCAGTCTCTCTATGAATGTTTATATGACGATGGGCGTGTTCAGTAAGACGGTTTATGTTGTAGTTAACGTGTTGTTTATTTTTATTTGTATTATGAACACTGATCTAATAACATTATATTTGTTAAGGAAAGCTGTGGGTACCGACTGCTTATATTGCTAAAGCGTCCTTTTTGACGATGTTGGATGTTTTGTTATTTTTTTGTTGAATGGCTTGACTGTTTATGTAAAAAAGACTACCTCAAATTGAATCATCAGTAGTTAATTTCTGTGTCCTAGACAACTGGGTGCTTAAGACATGTCCATTTTTGGCTCATAAATAGGAATTTCTTGCCACACTGTGAAATCATTCATTTTTTGTGGTTAATTTATTTTCGATGGTTTCATAAATACTTTTAAACCTTTCTTATGTCCATGGACTATTAAAATCAGTATAAGTAAATGTAATGAGATATATTTATCCACAAAATAATGTGTCCTCGAAATACTTTGGGTCACATGACCTATTGCTATAGTGCATTGTCCGTCGTCGTGCGGTGTCCGCAGTCCGTAATTTTTCAAACACCATTCCTGATTAATGCCTCTTCAGATTTCTTTCAGATTTGGTTTGAAACATCATTGAGGGTGGGAACTCATTTCTTAAATTCAGAAAATTGACTCTATCCCTAGGGACCTGGGAACAGGGCCCCAAATAGAAAGTCAATATTTTACTTGACAACATTATTTCTTCTTACTACCTTTGTTGATTTTCACTAAATTTGGTCTGAAATATCTTCTTTTTTTTAATTTAGAAAGTTGATGTGACTCGAAGGGACGTAGAGGCAGGGCCCGAAATGGAGAAGTCAATCAATATTTTGTTTCAAAATGCTACTCTTTCTTGATGCTTGAATGGCTTTCAACTAAATTTAGTCTGAAACATCGTTGATGGAGGGGAATAAGTTTTTTAATTCAGGAAGTTGATGTAGTTTCTAGGGATTTGGAGTCTGGGCTCGAAATGGAGAAGTTAGTCAATATTTTGCTTCAAATGCTGCCCTTACTTAAGGCTTGAATGGCTTTCCACTAAATTTGGCCTGAAGCATCATTTCGGGCGGGGAATCATTTTTTTTTTTAATTCAGAAAGTGAATTCATACCCTAGGGACTTTGGGGTGAGTTCCCAAATGGGGAAGTTGGACAATATTTTGCTTCAGAACGCTACTCCTTCTTAATGCGTGGTAGATTTACACAAAATTTGGCCTTAAACACCACTACAGGTGACCAATCAGTTCTTAAATTCAAAAAGATGAGTCAACACTTAGTAACCTGAGGGCGGGGGCGGGCCTCTAAAGGGGAAGTTATCCAATATTTCGTTACTCCTTCTTAATGCCTGGGTAGATTTCAACCAAATGGGGCCTTCATATTAGGCTTTGATCCAAAATCCAACATAACTCATCTGAACAAATGGTCTGAACTACTTCTCAAGTTTCATATACACTACGGAGAGTTTGATTGGTTAGGGAAAAAATTGGTTGTAATTTTTCAGCCCTGGTCAAAACTTCAATATGGTACCACAGAAACCATTTTTTAACGTGATTGTGCAACTGGTTTTTATGAACTGAACCTACCATTCCTTAGTTTCTGATACTTTCAAGGAATGTTCAAAATTTGAATTTATCGGATTTGTCAGACCACCATCAGCGAATTATGTGGTTTGACCATCCATTCGTGGAAGGGTAAATGACCGTTAAGGACCATAGCCCTTTTGTTGTTTTCTTCATTTTTTTTTTTATTTTTTTTTTGTTTGAAACCAGAAAAATTGAGACCCGCGAAAATATATGATTTCAGACTATGTCATTCTTACTGAGGAAATATATACATAAAGCACAGTACATCTTACAAAACTTTCTGTTTCTGGGTTAGAAGATGACTTGGGAAATCATGACCTCCATGATATATTCACACTTTGGGAATGCGACACGAACGGTTATTGAAAAAATAACCATTAGCTTCCGGTTGCCAAATATTTTATTATTTTTTTTATTATTCGTGTCTTTGCTACGCTCAAACATCTTCATATTCAAGCTCAGCCAATGACAATAGCATGGCAACCAGTCATGACGATCTCGGATATCATAGGTTTAGTTACCTGGTGTTTCCTCACATGGACGTGGGAGATAATGTGTAAATGATTAACCCGATCGGATCAAAAGCCGATATCCTTTCTGGCAAACATGTGATTGTTTTCAGATGACAAAAATAATTTGTATGATTGATAGCCTAAAGATCGCATGATTACGGCCATAGTGCCATCGGGTTGTGTTTGCCTATCACATGTGGAAAGTGGCAAAACGTTTAAACGTTGTGTATTATAACTCGTTTGACCAATTTACATATAAATACCGTCATTTACTATGGGTTCGGCTACTTTACATTCAATATGCATTTTTTTCCAGATCCGGGATAAAACTGAGCAAAAACACCTTCCATCTGATCCCAGTGATGCTGTTGTTGACAAAAGCCATGAGAAGGTCAGCGAGATCGGTTTAAACATAAAAACAGATTATCTGGATTGTCTAAGCCCGGAGCAACTCATTGCGCCTCGAGCGGAAGCGGAACAGTTCATTGCACCGCAAGTGGAAGTTGACGTCACAGATCTTGATGACCCAGAAATTATAGAAAGCCAGGACGAAAAAGAGGCTGCAGGGTCAGAATTAAACCCAGTAACGATAAATGACAACGAAAATAATGGTAAACGAAAATTACACCATTTTCGGGTTTTAACAAAGCAGTTACTTCAAATATTGGTATTTTCTTATTTTCCGCTATTTTCATGGATGGAATATAATCGCAAAAAGGAATACTTTGTAAGAAAAAATAAATTGAGGAAAATCGTAATATATCTAATTTATTTTTAGTTTTTGGCGGAATTTTGAATCGTTGAAAATTAAACTTTTACAGCTTGTATACTAAAGCACATAAAGTGATCAGGTATGCATGTATTCATTAAGATTGTAACGTAAGACAAAATGCTGATATTTGAGAGGGAATTTATTGTGTGTGGGGAGGAGGGGATCAATAAATGTACATTAAATCACTCTTCCACTTGTTCAAGATGCACTTTTTTCTTCTATGAATACATCTTAAGACATTCGAAGCATTCTTCTAACTTTATTTGTACAGTGCTAATGCAATGATACATTTTGATTCACGGATATAAACAAAATCCTATTTTTTGATGTGACGTAATCTGTAACACCAACATTTGGTGGAAACATACATTTGTTTACATACCTCAGTCCATTAGTCAATTTAGTCTACGAAAAATGACAGACATGGAATGATAAACAAATTAAATTGAAATGACAACATTGTTTACACTGCATTAATTATGTCAATTGTCAGTTTTATTTGTTACCAATTGCACTACAAATGTCAGATACGTATAAACAAGAACACACATCTGAGACCCGGAGTTAACAATAACATTGATGATGTATGTTACTTGTATCTATTTTCCGCAATCATTGTAATGAACCAGCTGTGGGGCTTGGTCTTGGGGTTGACTAACTGTGGTTTTGATAAAAAAAAAAAAAAGAAAGACAGGCTTCACGCTTCGATGCCAGTTATCATCTTGTTCAACCTGAGGCATCGACACATAACACTCCAACATATACAATGTAAGCAGCATAAATTTGGCTTTGGTTTACCCATTTTTCCTGTTAACAACGAGAGACTCTGGGGATTTGCCGCGTAATCATCTTGAAACATACATCGACAGGTTTTCAGCTTTATAACATAGAAGAATCAATAAGAAATTGACCTATGTCTCATTTATATTCATTGCATTCAATGTGGCATTCTGTTCGGTTTAAATCGAATCCTTCTTTGGATTCCCTTAAAAGCCCCATACATACATGCTATTTTACCGTTGTAGTATCTCTGGTAACTTAATTTGCAGTAAAGATCCTCTCTGTTCAATCCATGGCAATGTTAAAGATGTTCGAGAAAATTTATATCAACAAGATAACAGAAAAAAAGAATCAAATCATAAGGGGTTTTCCTTTTTTAGGAAAATTCTTTGAAATTTAGTAATTTCTTGTTGGTCACGTTCCGTCTTTAGTGTTGGATTGTTGCTGATATTCATCATCATCAATAGTATAAACTCAATAATTCCCCTTCATCATCAATAGTATAACCCCAATAATTCATCTTCATCATAAATAGTATAAACTCAATAATTTCCCATCATCATTAATAGTATAAACTCAATAATTTATCTTCATCATCAATAATATAACCCCAATAATTCATCTTCATAAATAGTATAACCCCAATAATTCATCTTCATCATCAATAGTATAACCCCAATAATTCATCTTCATTAATAGTATAAACCCAATAATTCATCTTCATCATCAATAGTATAACCCCAATTATTCCCCTTCATCATCAATAGTATAACCCCAATAATTCATCTTCATCATCAATACTATAAACTCAATAATTTCCCTTCATCATCAATAGTATAAACTCAATAATTCATCTTCATCATTAATAGTATAACCCCAATAATTCATCTTCATCATCAATAGTATAACCCCAATAATTCATCTTCATCATCAATAGTATAACCCCATAATTCATCATCATTAATAATATAAACTCAGTAATTCATCTTCATCATCAATAGTATAAACTCAATAATTTATCTTCATCATCAATAGTATAACGCCAATAATTCATCTTCATCATCAATAGTATAACGCCAATAATTCCCCTTCATCATCAATACTATAAACTCAATAATTTCCCTTCATCATCAATACTATAAACTCAATAATTTCCCTTCATCATCAATAGTATAACGCCAATAATTTCCCTTCATCATCAATAGTATAGACACAATAAACCCCCCTCATTATACGGTTGTTTCACTCTTCTGACAATTCAGCGAACATATTGCATTAAAGATATACTCGAGATACAATCGACTTTTTTAAAAAGAAAAAAGGTGCTTTCAATGCTGATCAGCGACACAATGATGTAGTGATTGATAGCGAAGGAATGGCTGTTTTATCGTTTATCAATACTACTGAAACTGAGATCAGAATCGGACACAACGGTTTGTGATACCTTTGTGGAAAATGTAATCGTTTCCTGTCAGATCCAGTTCTGAACTGGTCTCACCTTTCTTTTCAACTCACACTAGCTTACTATTTTTCTCAACATTTTTATTATCTATCTATTACAGAAGTATAGCTCGTCGTTATTTGTGGTAGCCCTCTTGTTGACGCTTCCCTAACGAAACGTGCTTATGAAAGCGTGGGAGAGATATTTTTTAAATTCAGCACAATGTCATTTTTTATTTCTGTTAATCATTTTTGCAAATTTCTCATTCGCACGTGCGCAGGCAAACAAAGGAAAACATTCTAGGGGAAATAATAGGAATACTATTTTGAACCGCCCAAACAAGATAACATGGAATATATATACATATATATATACCATGGCCCATTAACAAACTAAAATGTCCTTGCTATCACTCCACAAGATCCGCTGATTTTGAGTTTACTAAACGCCATTTTTTTACTCACTTATGATATAGATTAACCATACTTTAATCCAGGTTCACAATTTACACACATTTATGAAATAACCATATTTTTTTTCTACAGGTGTGATACTGGTAGTCCATCCCAACGGCAGCACACAAACGGTTGTGGATTACATCAATGATATCATTGAATCAGCCAGAAAGCGCGCGAACGAGGAAGCAATTGAGAGCTTGAACGACGTAAGTTGATACTCATATCTTTTGTTTATCATTTAACGATACAATACTTCATAATTATGCATACAATTGTCATGCCAAAGCATTTTTGCGTATGCGTCCAAAACAAAAAAGAACCTACCGCCATGTTAATGAAATCTTATTCAAACACAAATTTGATGAAGCTACGGCAAAAAAGAGCAAAGGGACGTTTTACAATGAGACTTATTTGACTGTAAAATATCATTTGTGAGAAGAGCGATTAAGACCGATTGACATGTGAAAGTCTCTCCGCTCTTGTTCGGAGACAAACGATGGTGTATATTTACTACACTTCGGCATAGTGCAGACGACATACAAGTAAATGACAAATTTTAATACAAATTCTGAATTAAATTCAGTAGAGCCAAATTTTGAATTAACTTCATCATACAGCTGTTTCATCCTTTTGGGACTAGTTAGTGATGCTAAGGGACTAAATTTTGAAACCTAGGAGATTCGGAGATAAAGTTAAAGTAATCGATAGAACTATCAAAATCTAATTTTCATATATCTGAGAAGATGTTCCCAAGAGACCCATGAAGGTATACAGATAATTGTTCTGGAAAAGGTCATGTACTGGAGTGTGCTAGAATGACTACAGGAAACTTGTAACTTCAACTCATTGGCGATAAAACAATGGCGAGGTGCCACTTCAGAGTATCACATCTCCGTGCGCCTGCACTTTGAGATTGCTTGCGAATGGTCCACATCTCCAACCAACAGCATGCGTGTCTTCAAGCACACAATAAAAACAAAATAAACAAATACAAGGAAACAACAATTTATAGGATTTACGGGACGTAATACATCGTTAATTGAGTCCATTAAAGTTAATTAAATAGGATACATAGGTTGAATTTTTTTCTCATTAAGCCTTATCAAACTTTTCTTCGCTTTGGAATTTGAATTCGACCGCCTTTGTAAAAGGATTCATTTTTATGAACTGTAGAATAGCTATTTGCACTTCTCCTATTTTGAGAAGCTTGAGTAGCTTAATAGCATTTGAAAAGGTCGGAACTATTTTTGGTTTCTTATATTACAGCTATTTGGAAACTTGTTTCAAAACTGCCGACAGCTCCGCAGTCGTTTGGCATTTACTCTGTATATTGAGTTTAGTCTATAGCGTAATTCTGTTAGAAGGAAAGCAGTATGAGTTTCCAAAAGTTATGTTTGAGTATATTTTTAACCAAATGCAATTTTCTTGAAAGGTTGTTTTTCATTATATTTGCAAACGTGATAATTTGCAGTAATTTGAATATTTTAATAAAGAAAATTTTTACTTGGTCTATACAAAGCTTTATCTCTGTTATGTCTAAGTTCTCAGGAAATATTTGTTTTTCTACCTAAAAACTAAAAAAAGTATAAACTGACTAATTCTATACTTTGTCACACCTTGGAAGGGGTGTTTGTTCTGCCAAATACAAATTTTAAAAAATTGAGAATGACTTGTAACACTTAATCATGCATGGCATGGGGTTAAACATGGGGCTGCTGAAACCTGTTTGAAAATAACTTTTGGTTTTAAAAACATGTATAAAATGTATAATTAGTGTTCATTTAGCATAATGAGCTTTTCTAGTAACGTTTTACATTAGCACTAAATAAATGACGGCTGCGCCCTCAAAGGAATTCTTCACGGAAAATGCTTCTTTGAAAAACAATTAACTTCATGCGAGAAAACAAATTCAAGTATAAGAGTATTTAAGGTACATTCATCTTTGCCTGTCATTAACCGGAGCACATTCTATACATTATACCATTATAATGTTTTATGTTTGAGGATATTTTTATCCTATACTAAGATAGTTTACTGTTCAGATGATTCTTCGATCATAGTAGGTCTGCCATCTTTCCTTAATCGATTCTTGTTCTTTGTTCACACCAATCACTAAAACCCATTCATATTGACCTAATGAAACACTGGAGCTAGTAATGTTAACTGCACTACTTGTAATAAACTTTTCTTATTATTTTTTATCAATTATCAGTATATTTTTCTTTATTTCTGTGCTTGTCATTCAAAAGTTAAGAACCATCAACGACTTTGCGTGACTTACCAGCTCTCTGTGGAATATTACACTTTTGTTCACGTGATGCAAAATACAAAACTGAAATTTAATCAAAGAATCAATCCTAATTGGAATGTTCCCTAATTACAACATGTTCAAATTTCCAAATTAATTAGTGGAATGACTTTATTTTTTAACGTCTTTAATTTTGTCGAAAAAGGCAACACGTTTTATGTTGTTCAATTTAATGTTATGCTGTAAACTTAGCAATTTTAGAGGCAATTCTTGGCGGTGCTATGAATTGACTATTGATCTATTTTGTGTTTTCATATATTTCGTTTACAAGCCAGATAACTGACAATAGCACCAATGCATGCCATGCTTGAAATTTTTCTAAATATGGCATTTGAATATGGCAGCATTATGAAATTGATTTTAAAAAATGAAAAGAAGCAATATAAATAAGGCATTTTTATTCTTATTTCCTTTTATGACCCAGGTATCATTTTGTGGATTAAGACATGGTATGATAAGTGTTTTCGAAATTGCTACGAAGAATCGAACGTTTGAGATGCCAAATTGAAAATTTGAGCTGAGGCTATAGTCATATAAGGATGGTCAATAGACCGTATAATAGTCTTCAGAGTTATGATTTCTAGAATAGATGTATAGTTATAGGTTCTTCTCAAAGTCTAAAGAAAACGTCAGTGATCCATAAAATTTGCAAATGTCAGAACAAAATTTAGCCAGCTTAAAGCAAGTAGCAAAATCGAAAATTATATTTTTCTCGTCGGTAATGGTCTTCTGGGTGTTTACTAGCTTTAGAGAAATAGATCCAAAATATTACAATGTGTAAAAAGATATTGATAAGAAAATTTAAAAACTAATGTGTATTTTGCTCTTATTTATTGTAATGCCACTGCCATTTTATGGAGGCATATGGTATAACCAATGACCACCATCCCCGAAGAAATGCATTATCTTGTGTTTAGGGTACAAAGGCTAAGGTCAAAGTTACCGTCACTATTTATAGAAATATATTCATCCATGATACTAATACGCATTATGTTCTTAAAAATTCCAAAATCGTTTGTTTTAATGGAGGCTTTAGAGAATGCCGTACACAATCAGTATGTGCTTGGTCGCCACAGTTTCAATATATTCTAACCGCAAAACAAAAGCCAGCACTGTTCACGCATCTGTACACTGCTGACAGAACATCATATAAAAGTGATTGATGCTGACCAAGAATACACGGCCAATAATCCATGGTCAGCATCATCACGTATGTTGATACTGTCTGACATCCTGTCCTTTTCTACCTCAGACATTTAATCATTAACTATGTTATCTAGCCCAGTTGATGAATACCCTTATGAAAATCTCACTTCCGAAGAAGACCTGAAGCACTGTATGTAATACCTTAGCTTAATCAGTTCACAGTAGCTGTATTTCCAGAAGGCTTAGGCTGAAAGATTTTCTTCAGTCATTGTACTTCTAGCACCTGCAAGCAACGAGATTACTTCTTGTCTGGTTTTGAAACACAATGAATGCTATGGCTTCGTGGTTCATGACGTCATGTATAATAAGATGCTTTGCCCTCTGGCACGTTCAGATGAAAATTGTGTTTCTTTATATGGAATGTGAGAGCTATTTTTGGTACTTTTTTAAATATTCACAAATTGTTTCATCTATTCCATCTATATGTAATTGGTTCCTGTAGAATGCAGAACAATTAGTACTCGTATGAAATGTCTCATTTTAAGTAATAACGTTAGACCTGGATTTCAAAATGATAGAAAGGAAGTAAAACAGTAAAAAAATGAAGAAAAAATAACTTTTAAAGATAATATCTTAAACTTAAAAATGCTGAGCTTGAAATATCAACTCTCCTTCCTCATTTTCTGCCAAATATCTTTAATTAAATCATTTCTATTTGTAGTATTCTTTCGTTTTGTTAGCACAATATCACGTCTAAGTAATCAGTATAAGGTAGGAAACAGAATTATGTTTACTGTTTGAAGTTATGTGTGTAAATGTCACGCTTAGTAAGGTGCAACATAAAATCTAACCTATCGCTAATGCAATTATGCAAATTAGCAATCCATCAATTTTAATTTGACATAATCAACATATTTTTAAAAAGGTCACCCACAATTCTAGATGATATTTATCAGTTAAGCGTAGACATATTTTATGTTTATCCTATAATACTAGTAGTCATTAGGTAAATGAATAAACAACACATTGTTAGCATCGCTGTTCATTTTGTTGCCTGGTGCTGTTAGGCAACACATTAATTTCGGTTAGGTTCGATCAATATAACGCAATCTTAGAGCAACCCATTTGAAATATAGTATGTAATTATCGAACAAGCCGGACATCATATTTAACAGTTGTGTTACTAAATTGTATTTGTCCTGTTTACGACCTCTTAAATACCAAACATTGATTTATTACCGCCATCGATTTCGTCCACATCGCAAAGACATTGTCAATATTTGCTTGTATAAATGACAGATAACAATGAAGGCCAGCTTGATATTAATACACGTGTATACACTATAAGCTTTTTTTTTTATTACATTTTTGAATTTATAGATAAAGATTTTATTTTTTATCTGTTAAAGGAATCCAACGCTTCGTTTTTAAATGGACACATTAAGATGTCTGTTAAACACATATAGCTTCCATCACATAAAGATATACATTGTCTTGGCAGAAATACCAGATACAACTGGTCCTCAATAAAAACAATAAAAGTTCTTGGGATAACCGAATGATGTTCAAGTTTCAAAAATGTCAAGTATAAGTTATGGTTTTAACGATTTTTCTACTTTTCGTCCAAGATTGATAAACAAAAATGATGTAGATTTGCAACCTATCAAAAATGTTTTCATTAGAAAGGATATTAAGCTACAATTGCCTCTATATTTCGCGTTGTCATCCTATTTCAGCCATAAGGTGACATCTTACAACACTATCCGACCTCCGTTTGCACGATGTTATTATCAGTAGAGAATACTATTTATCTCAAGCGTCATGCTGATGTAGTTTTTGTCAGCTTCACACACGCGAGTTATTATGAAACATTAATAACACTTCACCACAACAAGTCACTACGGATCTATTAATTTCGCACATTATTTATATTTAATATAGCTTAGATGATAGATATGTAAGTAGGTCATCCGCTCAAATGAATAAAAACATATTGATATTTCCATATATGAAGATATATCAGTTTAAATGTGTGGAACCTAATTATCAATGACGATATTTACAGTATCAGTATCAAGCTTGAAGTGACATTTCGTTAAAAAAAGGCTCAAAAACAAAAAATATTGAACAATATATTATTATTTATTTAAACTTTCCCTGCAAAGGATCATCCACGCTTGTACTATTGTGAGATTTCCTATTCTAAGCCTAGAGCTGAGAGACTTGTCTTTCATGACCTTGATGTCACCTCAACAATGCGTGTCATTGAAATGAAGACGATAACACATATGATAAAAATAATCAAGCAGAAATTAAGACGGGAGTTATCAACACGATCTAAATTGTTCTTTTTTAAGAGAAACATTATTTTGTCCATATAAATCGCAATGTTACTGTTTCAAATCGCGTGATACCAGTTTTTGATTTTGTCTTAAATTTCAAACGAGTAACAATGTATATTGTACTTTATATAAAATATGCCTACATTTTAAAAACATATGATACTTAAATGACACACAACTTGTTTCCGGGTAAAAAAATAACAATTGTTAAACAGCACATTCCAAAATCTTTAAGCTGGAAAATCTCGTGTTGTAAATCTATAAATGCTATAACTAAATTACTATCCCTCAGAGTCATTTTTCTAACGGACAGGAACTTATTGACCATGCAATGAATGACCGTGATGGCCTCCACGTGGCCAATAATACATGGTCACTTTACCCATTTAATGGTCAGAAGGCAATAACAGTTCCGTTGTCATTCCCAGCTGGTCAGTTCAAGTCATGGTTGAAGGCCTACTATCCTATCTGTCATTTCGAAATTTGCGAACATCGTTTAAAGGACACAAAATCAATCAAGTCTGCCATATCCTTGAAGACTTGCTAGCATTGTTTTATAGTATGGATACTCAAACGAGATTCATTAGTTTCGGCGAGGACAAGGATCGGAGAACATCTAAATTCTACGAGCATAATTTGTAGAATGTAAGTGAGTAATAATCATACATGACCAAATATGGAAAAACGATGAATGATGACACTGATGTAACAGACAACTCATGTTTGGTCCAGTTATTAAGCAAACGTTTGCAATATTGCCCATTTTCGACTTTTCAGCCAATGAGTGAAAAAATAACATAATACATACATTTCTGTTAAGCGTTGAATGTTGCACAAAAAAGTGTCGCTTGTTCTCAAGCATGATAAATACACGTAAGAACTATGTGATTTTTATTTTAATTGAAAATTATGTACATTGTAATCTGACACAGAAAGGAATATTTGTTTTCTTCTCAATGGCATCTATATGTTAATTAATCATAGATTCTTTATTGCTTTTTCAGTCGTCCAAGAAAGGCAAGAAAAAGAAAAGATCTGCTGACTCGGGTGAGTTGATTGAAAAACCTTCAAATCGATTACCTATGATTAATCAGGAAGGAATTTCAAACCGGAAATTAAACAGGAACAAATAAGAAAAGAATGGAAATGCTGAAACAATTTCACGCATGGCTAAAAGACGAAATGTTAGAAGGCTAGCTCATTATGACACTGCGTGTTTATACCGATTTTATCGGCGGAATAGTTGAAACAGTATGAGTAAATTTATTCAAAATGTTGTATTGTTTCAAATGTGATACATGATTTTTCAGAAAAAACAACAACGTAAAAGCCTTTTTGAGGTTGACATCTTTCAAGAATTCAATTCCAAACTAAGAAAAAGCAAAAGAAAAGGTCGCAATGAATGTTTCGACATTGACATCAATCTCATGAACTTTGGGAACCCATGTCCTCATTAACACTTTCGAGCCGGGTTGTTATTTAGATTGAAATGATTTGCGGATTAGTCCGATGTTTCGTGCGCTAATTTCTTCTCTACATGGAATCCCGGGGGATGATTGATAGCTACGTAAATTACCCGACTGACCCCGACTGACCCCGACAGGTCATGGAATTTATTGCCATCTAATGTATCCTAGCGTGGCAAAGAAGAAGTTGTTATTAATTTTGTGTTTAGATATTGCGGAATGTATTTCATTTTAAAGTTAACATCTAACATAATGATCACGGTATAGAGCTTTTAGATACAATAGAGTTATGTCCCCTGATATTGCAGATATAAAGTGTCTGGTTGACCAGTGTTGATTGATTTTTATTGTGTCTTTCTATACAGGAAAGCAAGGATCCCGAAGAGGTTCCAGTCGGACAAGCGCAGTTAGAGAGCTCATATCAAGGATATTCCGGGTAAATACGATCACTCTGTCGGCGTAAAGATAGAATGTGTTTTATTTTTCTATTAGACAGAAGCGATTTTCATGTTTAAGATACTTGATTTTGAAATGACCTTATCGTGTTTTGAGTTACAATTCTCCTGAATGTATTTGACATACTTGACACAGATCATCACGTGACTTGCTTGAGATGATATGTACATTTCTGTGAAACAGACATTGAGCCATACACATTTTCTCACACGAATCAGAAATCGATGGTAGAGTAAGATTTACTTGATTAAGCTGTCAAACAATCACGGTAGCTGAAAGACTCAAATATTATATGTAAATACTTGGGGGAGGAGATTCATCACTGTCACAGTCTGGCGATGATCTTTGAATATCCACTTTCTTGTTCGTATCTGTCATGCTGAGTGAGAGATTGATATATGGAAGAAGTTGTATACTTGCGTCCACTCGACTTTCAAATGAAGTCGATACCCATTTTAGACATTTTACTAAATAACCAATCTACATAAGGCTTTATTTATAGATCTGTAGAATGTTTTATTTGAATTAGCAACAGTAATACTTTCCGAAATGAAATGGTTAGTGACACGGTTCAGAATATTCACATGGACTTGAAGTTATCAGACACATAATAATTACGCAAATTTATTTAATAAAGGGACTAATGTTTTTGTTTTGTTTTTTTTTTTTTTTTTGTTTTGCGATCATTTTGGATTTTTTTTCCTTGTCTACTCTAAGACTTCAAAAGTTAGGCCGTTAGCGCTACGGACAAGCCTTAGAAGAACGAAACAGCTCAATGATGCAGTTTAATTCATTCTTGGCTCTATTGTATCTCACGCTAAAGTATGTAAAGATGCTATCCACTTTCGTGTACTTTGTACAATTTTCCAAGCCAGGGTGAAAAAATGGAAAGAGATAACAATGACCGACCGCTCACTATATCTATATCTTATTGTATCGTTAATAAAAATGTACGTCTCAAACAACAATCAACACCCGATGTTATGTGTCTCCATTGCAAGATCTCAGAATTGTCCAACCTCAAGACAACAACATCTATAATCGCTAAATAGTATCGGGCCTGGACAGGTTATGTTCGGAATTGTTTCATCTAAATAAGAGAGCGATAGCTTTTGAGGAAAGATTAGCCATTAAAATGTACAATCCACGATAGCATCATTAAAGTTTTCTCTGGTCTATGACTTGCTTTTCACATGCCTTATTCATATGAACTACTTGCTATTGAATTTCTGTTTTCATTACAGCGGGAAGACGTCAGTGACACACTGGAAGGTGACAATGGTGTTGGAAATTCGCAATTTGACAATTCAGTAACGGAAAAATCGACAACAGACAAGTCAGCTTCAAAGAAAAATAAATCAAATAAACGACATCATTTTAAAACTCTTTTGTTTCAAAAGAAACAGAAATATCAAGTTTCGACAGAGGCTCTCGCCACGGACGAAAACTCGAGAGAAAAAATCAGGAAAAGACAAAAAGTTGGCCGGGCTAATAGTTTCGGAAAATCGCTTCGAAACATGTTGTCCTGTTCATCGTCTGTAACAACGGTGTAAATGATTCATCGACCGATAAACTTTTGTAAAAGTGTGTCATCATTCATTTCATCACCGGATACTTTCTTTCAGTCATTGTTCCAAAACATGCCACCTCAGACGACATCTTTTACGCTTTAAGTCCCCACCAAACATGCGCAGTTTCCCTCTCACGGAATTGCAAACCTCCGTCAGACCTGGATTATTGAAGGTTTTCAAAATGTTTGAAAGTATCTGACATACACAAGTTTCCTTTACCATGTGTATACGAAGTGCTAAACTTTCACGTGTTATAAAATTTTCGATGAAAATAAGGACATACCCTTAAGTGTTTAAATCATGATTTCGTTTGAGAACGATATGTTCGAATTCCTCGACATTATCTTTCGAAGTAATATCTCTATTTTCGAAATTTTATAAAAGAAACCCTTCAATTGTTTTATAATGCATATTGAAATTCAGTTTTCAGAAAATAATGACTGTGGTTTCAATTCCTTTGACTGACGACATTTTGTCTGATTCCTCGGTCATTATATTGTCTTTGAGAAGAGAAAAAGTAACAAATAAATCAATGTTTAATTATTGTTTCGGATGGAAGTTTCAGCTTAGAATCGTCAAAATATTATTATATCGAAAATCTTACTTGCATGCTGCAGGACAAAAGTTTTCTTTTAAAATATGTTGTAATATTATGCGTGTAAATATATATTTGTATTTCCAATAAATGAGTTAGAAAATGTCTATTTTTATAAAATAAGAAATAACAGTATTGGTAACATAGTTGCGCTAATATCACCAAAGGTCTATTCATATAACACAAACTGTTGTATAGAAGCCACAGATCTATTGTTATTACAAAAATGTTCAATTATATTATTATTGAAAAATCTTGATTTGTAAGAAATGCATCAAAGAGCTTACTAAGACACATAGTTCTTGTAGGGTATAATTTGATTCAGTTAAAGGTAAATCGAATACAGAAACCGTTCAACTTATTTATCTTTATTAAGTAAAGAACATCTTTCTTTCGTTTACTTCAATTTTAAAAAAGCTAAGATATCAGGCAAATTATTTTGTAAAAAATTGAATATTGTTATATATAGTCATTATTGGTTCATTGATGTTATTTCTTGTGTATTGATTATGAATAATTTGCATTTAATAAGTAAAGTTAAGACTTGAATCTATGAGCTATAGATGGTCAATAACCTTTATTAAGCTATCGTTTATCTATCATTATATTCCTAACTTTGTTATCGAACCAATCATACAATTTTCATACCTTTTATACAATACTGAGGACGGATAATCTATATTTCTATTTTCTACGTTCGTACATGTCCTGCAAAAAATAGATAGCCAATGGTCTGACAATGTTGTTTGTATCAGTACAAATTAATGTGTCGCTTTTTCCGATGGAGTTTATTTGTTTGTAAAAGGCACTGATAGAAACCAGTATTACAGGCAATTTACTAAAGCATTCTTTAAAAGTAATTCTCAAATGTCTGATATATTTTACAAAATGTTTTCATTATGTTATACTACCGTTTGCAGTGAATAGATGTTTCAAGGGAGCTAACCCAAAAAGACTGCGAATGTTTTCCTGTCAGCCCTTTCAAAAATATCAATTTTATTTCACTGGTATATTTGAAATTTATTTCATTTGTAATATAGGTTAATACAAATATCACTATCACTGATATCATTATATACAGTGCATTGATATATATGTCAAAACAGAGATCCTCTGAATGTTCCTGCTACCTGTAGTACAAACCTTGGTAATTAACAGATACGTTTTAATGGCGTTAATGTACATATCAACTCAACAAAAGTCACCGCATTTCATTATTCAGGATGGCGACACCGTTTACCATTGACCTCTATATCACGTCTATATGTGACCTTGCCACTTGTGTTGACGTGTTGAACTCTGTTTCTATGTCATTGTCACGACAATAAATCAATATTCCATTCTGTGATGAAAGAAGTTTAACAACATTCATTTAACAACAATTATGTCATAATTTCAATTTTGAAGGAATCGGCGTACTTTGGATCAGGTGTTTTTTTAGTTATTTGGTAAATGGTTTGCTTCTTTTTCAAAACATTGATAAGGCTGAAGGAAACTTAAATAGTTAAATAGATTTTCACAAATTCTTTATCTGTCCCTACTGATTTCCTACTAAGACTACGATTATTTTACATGAAACCGTGTTTATGAATTGTATGAGAAATGTTCGTTTAATTACTACAAAGAACGAAGCAAGAGGTGCGGAGGCTCTTACGGGAACTTCTAGCAAATTCTCATTGGAAACCTTTAGTACAAGAAGCAAGTTTCCAAAGACTTTTAAGTCACAAACCAATAAGAAGTTTTCTATAATAATCAGTTGGTTGCCACAATTGATTTCTTCAGTTACTGTTTCTCAGAGTTACACGATATTCCAATTCAGTACTTTATTACATCAGATATAACGGATGTTTCTAGTTATTATCATGATATCGTGTAATAATGTGTTGAAGAAATCAGTTACAGTTTTGTTCGCACATCGTTTATCCCAATATTATGTACTAAAGGTTGTTTTGTCTTGACATGTCTCCACAAAGAATAAAATATTGTTTCCGAAATATGACATTGTTTTCTTTCTGCTTTAATTCGTTTGTTATGGGGTTTCAAAGATTTTTTCAGAAAAAGTCTTTAGATAAGGAAATGTTTAACTTGCTCGAAACGTCAAGTGCAAAATTGCAATAAACTCGTATACAGAGGTAGATCTGAATATGTTACTTTTGGACATTTTGCTGACGATAACAGCTGGACGTACTGTCATATAGCATCATAATGCTAATAATGCTTCTATGCTTAGAAAACAAGTAAATACCTGCATGTACGCGTGATCAAAATCCAAACTCCAATCAAATAAAAATGAAGCAAAATTTGCACAAAAGAAAAATGAACACGAAGACTACTGAAAAAAGAAATGAATATTAGACCAAGCGTTTCGTAAGAGTAAGTTTTTTCTGCTTCATCGGCAACATCTGCTATGTAAATTTTCATCAATCCAAATAAGCGATGTCATATTTTCAAATGAGTAAAAAGGATAGGCAAAAACGAAACAAGCAAACAAACTAACAAGCACCAAACACATCCAGCTTCATAACACACGATAAATATTTCTCAATGAAATCACTATGACGACCGGAATTTTCATCAACCTGCATATTTTGAAACTCTTTGTTACGAGCTTGTCCGTTATTTGACGATTTCTTTCACGAAAATCGTGATAATGGGAACAGATCCGTGAATATCGAATTGGCTGTGACTTATAAACATCATAGGTTGTGGATGCAGGGTGTTGCTATAAAGAAAGAGAAAATCCCAATAGGGAGATTGTAATCATCTCACTTGACGTTAAGTTGCCCATCTTACTTTCTTTGCAGGAATTGATAGAGATAAGCGGCTGATGTAGAAAAGACTGCCGTGTCTTTGGTTTCCAATTCTGGTTGGTATATACAATGGACGTGGTCAATAAGTTTCTTGTCATATAAAGACATGACGTCATCGATATATTTGAAGTGAAAGTGAAGAATTTTGCGTGGTCCTCGTGACCTGTTTAGATAAGGTCTTCAGTAATTTCATCCTTGTAAGAAAACAAAACACAAACAAAGAGGGAAATAGTTGATTTAAACATATTTTATTGTCGACAAATAGACAAATGGACAAGAGACAAGTTCTTGCAACTTATGAACTCTTCTCCACAAATACAGCACAGATAATATATTACAACACGTGACATATATTCATACAATAAACATAAAAATACAGAATTGTAGACTTTATGTTTAAATCAGTTTGTCAGCGGATATTACTGGAAAATTAAGAGAGAGAGAGAGAGAGAGAGAGAGAGAGAGAGAGAGAGAGAGAGAGAGAGAGAGAGAGAGAAGAGTTAATATCTCCCCATAATATGACTTAAAAATCACGTCTTCATATAGACGTATCCACAAGAAAATAAAGCAATTTGGTCTTCAACGACTTCTCCACAAAGCAATTCCCACCGTAAATAAATCTGAGCGCAGTCCACTACAGTTGTTCCTTATTTGACAATGTATACCGGAAAGGTAACGGTTGTCAGAGTGTAGATAATCTGGAACTGAAATGTTTACAGGAGAAAGCTTAGATCTGAAGTTATCTAAGGACGGGGACGCTTTTACAGAATTATCTACGTTATTCCACAAATTTATAGACGACGGCACAAAAGATTTTTTCATAGTATTTAGACAACTGTGGGGTATTTGGTAATTCTCAGGGTTTCTTAATTCAATGTTTAAGTCACGTCTAATAGGTGGAAGTAGATTTATCAAGTAAGAAGGGGCTATCTTATTGTGTATTTTGTAGAACGTAGTCAATTTTGATTCCTCTCTTCTTTGTTTGAGAGAAACCCAACCTGTTTCACGATACAAAGACTCACGAGACGCTATGGATGTGAGACCAGTAACGATTCGTGCAGCCTCTAATTGGACTTTTTCTAGTGAGTCGGACAAGTGTTCCGAACAGCCATCCCAAACACAAGAGGCGTACTCAAGAATGGGCCTAATAAACGATATATAAATAGTATTAAGAGTAGACTTATTTACCTTGTACTTAAGTTTTTTCATGGCACACACTTTTTGAGAAGAAGTTTTAATGAGGAGGTTAACATGGTCACTCCATTTGCAATTACTGCTAAAGGTTACATCCAAGTGACGATGCGAATCATTGAATTTAATGGGTTCACCATTGCATACCAAGTTTGGTTTGGCAGGGTTATTTCTAGGAGAAAAGATAACTGCCTCCGTTTTAGCAGAATTGAATTTCATAAGCCATTGGTCAGACCAAATTTGAAGACGATCTAGATCCTGATTCAGGGCAACTTCAATTTCATCTGAAAAGGCAGATGATTTTTGAAGAGAGGAATCATCAGCAAATAATCTCACAAAAGTGTTCATGGGATCAGCTAAGTCGTTGATGTAAAATAAAAACAGCAAGGGACCCAGTACAGAACCCTGTGGTACCCCAGCCCTGACCGGCTTAAAAGGATAAGTATTGTTTCCATATATAACAGATTGGTATCTATTGGTTAAGTAATTTTCCAACCAGGATAGTAACACTCCATCTATTCCATACTGATGTAGTTTGAACAAGAGACCCTTATGCCAGACTTTGTCAAATGCCTTGGACAAATCGCAAAATACAACACAAGAATATTCATTATTATCCAAAGAGCTAACAATACTGTGATACATTTCTATCAACTGATAGACTGTGGAGTGGCCGGGAAGGAAACCAGATTGATACTTGTAAAAATATTGTTGTCTCTAGCAAAGTTAAAAATATATTTAAAGACACATCTTTCCATAGTTTTTGACAAGCAACTTAGCAAAGAAATAGGCCTATAATTTGAAGGAACATGAGCATCTCCTTTTTTAAATACTGGTAAAACGTGTGCTTTTTTCCATTCCGAAGGGAAAACAGCATCCCTTAGAGACCTATTAAATAATAATGTAAGAGGTTGTGAAATAGTTCTGGCTGTAGCTTTTAGCATACGGTGATTAATCCTGTCTGGACCAACAGCTTTCCCTTATGTCAAGAATAGATAAAATATCACAAACATCTTTTTCTTCGATCATAAAACTAGAAAGTGAATTAATGCATTTTCTGACGAAGTTTGGCAGATTTGTATTAGAATCATCAGTACTGGAGACAGAAGTGAAATAATTATTGAGGATTTCAACTTTTTCCTGGTCACAAAATGCCATTTTGGTAATACCATTAACATTGTATTCTAGAGGAGGTATAGAGCGAGGAGAGGAGGAGAAAAAGCTGTTAAGAATTTGCCAAAAGGCACGGGGATTTTCAGTTTGTGCCGTAGAGACACGTGATTCCAAATTACAGAAGAAATCGGCCTTCGCCTTCTTTTTCATATTATTTACTCTGTTTCTCATACCCCTGTATGAATACCAGTCTGCTTGGCGTTTAGAACGTAATGCCTTTTGTTTGAGTCTGTCCAATATACGACAGTGTTTACGTAAAACCGAATCGAACCAGGGTTTGTCGGAGGGACGGATAGTAACTGTAGAATTTGTTATAAAGATTCTAGCCAGATCTAAAAATTGCCTAGTGAAGTTGGAAACAGCACAATCGATAGAAGGTGCATAAGAAATTAAATCGTGCCAATCTACTGATTATCACGAACCATTAAGCCCAATGTAGTCTGCCCTATTATAATTCCACACACATCTCTCGTATGATGTTTTACAATTATAAGAAAATGATAAATTTGTAAAAGTCGCTTTATGATCACTAACAGTATTGTCTACACTGAATGTCCCACTATCGAGACATTTAATATCCGAAGAAATATATATAGGATCTAAAAGTGTAGCTGTGTCAGTGGTTACACGAGTGGGTTCGGTAATAACGTTTATGAGGTGATAGTTGGTTACTAATGTATCTAACTTATTATTTCTGTGTAACATATCAACATTAAAATCGCCAAGGATAACTATATCAGAACAATAATCGGAGACAGTCTCAATGCACCACTCGAAATTTTGATAGAAAGTGTTTCTGGAGTTTGGTGGTCTATAAAATAATCCAACCATGATACGTCTATTGTGGCACATAACTTCCGCCCAGATGCATTCTAGATTTGCCGGTTCAAACTCGAGGATGCGACAAAATCTAATAGAATCTGGAAAATATATAAGAACACTTCCACCAAAAGCATTTCTATCTTTACGTATAGAAGTGGAATAGCCAGGAATAGGAAGAGAATCACTTACGACTGAATCGTCTATATGTGTCTCCGAAAAGCACAAAATGTCAAAATCACTGATAAAAGAATCGAGAAGAGAAAATTTATGTCTAATGCTTCTAGTATTTAAGTGGAGTAAACTCAAGTCAAAGTTGTCATGATTGTCAGGACCAGGGTTTGTTTCAACATCTCCACTTAGAATTAAGATAATATATAGAGAGGGAAAGTCAGCACTATAAAAACCGGATATACATATATCTAGACAAGGATAAACATGTTGGAAAATCCATATGGAATATATCTTAGTCATGTCTTTAAGTAATGTTAAAAGAAATAAAAGGAAATATGCTGGGTTCAAAGATATTTTACATGAGGACGTAATCGAGTAGATACTACCGTTAAACCTTCCGATTGACGCCCTATAATCCTCTAAGGAATTACCCATTATCTAGTATACAAACATAGGTAAGTATAACATACAAGTAGAGGACATGAATCGAAATACAGTCGACTGTGAATAAAAAGATTGGTAGAGAAAGAATGTAAAAGGTAGGCAGAAAGAATAGGGTAAACATGAAAGAGTAGGGTGGATAAACGATAGACTGAAAGAGAGAAACTAGAAAAAATATGTGTCTATAACAAAAAACATTCATCGTTGACATATCACTAATGAGAAAGGGGTAAGAAAAAAGTCAAACTATTTCCGAGAAATACCATCAAACATACAAACATATAAGCGATAAATCAAAATAACCAGTACTCCCATACACATTTACTAGTTGTTTAAAAAAAGTGCACACACAGAACCTATGCACATTTATCCCTGCAACTTGCACA